GCGGGAGTGACCCCGGGGCCAGCAGCCCCTCCCTGTGACCCTCAGCCCTGGGGAGTTCCTCTCACCCCCACTTTTGGCCTGCACCCCAGCTCTCATGTGCATCAATCCGAAGTTAAAACTGTTTCCTCCCGGGTGAGGTGAGTGCCATGAAGGCCCCGGGGTCACCTCCCCCAAGTGCGCCCGAGGCTGCGCAGACACGGCGGGGGGCTGGGGCCGGGGCGGGGCTGTCACCCACCTGGCCGATGGCCGCCAGTGGACCCGCTCAGCGACTGCTCCCCGGGCCCAGACGCGGGCGGCGGGGGGCCCTGGGCGGGGGCGGCGCCCACAGAGACCAGGTGCCCCAGGGTCTCCAGCATCACGTCGTGGTACTGGGTGCGCTGCTTGGGGTCCAGCAAGCCCCACTCGTCCCTGCTGAAGCCCACGGCCACATCCAGGAAGGTCACGGGCTCCTGCAGCACCAGGGCGGGGGTCGCTGCAGGGGCCGGGCGGGACACCGGGGCCCTCCGCAGCGCGGCCTCGGAGGCCCTGGGCGGTGCAGGCCCTGACCCGGGTCCTCTGCGGCCGCCACCCTGTGCCCCATGCTGCTGCGGTCACTCCCAGCGGGGCAGCCTGGCTCTGGGGTGATGCCCCCTCCCGAGAGCTGAGGGGGCCTGGGGGGCTCTGCCAGAGGGCTCGGCCCGAGTGCCAGGGGCAGGGCCGCAGGCATGAGTCGGGGAGCCCCCAGGCCCCAACACCGCGGCCAGGGGCTTCCCTTGTGCGTGGCAACAAGCGGGGCTCAGCCCCAGCCCCCCTGAGACCCCGCCGGCTCTGGGGCCGGGCACCCACTCACCTCGGGCGCCGCCTTCGCCAGCGGGTGCTCCTGGGCCTCCTCCTTGCCCTGCTGCACGGGCGCCTCAGGCGCGCAGGCGGGGGCCTGGGTGGGCGACGCTGGGCGGGGCAGTGGGGTCAGCGCGGCGGCCCTGGGGTCCGCCCACCGCCTCCCCAGGGCCGACCCGCGGCAGGCCACGGGCCCAGGTGTCACGGGCAGCCGCTGCTGGCACTCACCGTCCTCGCGGGCGATCCCCGCCATGTCCTCCACCAGCGCGGCCGCCCGCTGGCAGTCCTCGGGGTGCTGCGACTGCACCCACAGGCGCAGCTGGGCGGGCAGCGCGCCCAGGAACTGCTCCAGCACCAGCAGCTCCAGCATCTGCTCCTTGGAGCGCGCCTCGG